GTGAGCCCCATCAATAAAGAAGCTGCAAGACGATCCCCAATCAAGACGCTGGCATCGCCCGGGCCATGTACAAGATTGAAGTCCCTGGCTCACAGCCGGGCGGTCGGTCGAAATGTAAGGGTAGACGTCGACCCAGGCAACACATGACTCGGCACGAGGGTCTTGCACAATGCCCTCCGCAACACTTCCTTCGATTGTCGATCTTGAACACCGCCTCGAGTAGACGTTATATTCTCTCACCAATGCCAAGGCCAGAGCAGCATTCATGGCTTGAAAGTCACCAGCGATACCAAGTTTTACATCGCCCGGCAACGGCTTCACAACGTGAAGCTCAGCGCCAGGGGCATCCAAGACACACGCCCGCAGGACGCGCAGTATTGATGACTGATACTCTGTTGGTTGAGGTTCAAGAAAACACGGCGTTCCAGGCTTGATGATGCCTCCTTTCTCCCAAGCAATCTCTTCGATTGTGCTGCCCAGCAGATCGGTGTGTTCCAAGTCCAATGTCGTGATAGCGCAGGCAACGGGCTTTGGCACTACATTGGTAGCATCAAATCGTCCTCCTACGCCTACTTCAAGTATCAACACGTCCACTTGCTCGCTAATCGCCACCCAAAAAGCCAAAAGAGTCAAAAGGCGAAAATAACCAGGAGTTACGTCTGGCTCCGCAATTCGAGTTGTTGATGCCCCCGAAGCCGCGGATGACGACGAAGACTTCAACAGTGAGGCGTCCGCTGACCGTTGCAATCCAGTTGATCTCCTATCTTGGAGACGGTTCCAAACAGTCCAAAAGTGCAGGCTCCATTGCTTATCTGTGAGTGGCTCTCCATTTAATCGAATCCGTTCATTGACACGTACCAAATGCGGCGACGTAAATAGCGCTGTTCGGACGCCCTGCTTGCACAGGACAGCTTCAGCAAAAGCGCATGTGGAGCCTTTACCTTTGGATCCTGCCACATGCAAAATTGGCAGTTTAGGTAAGCTTTCCGCAAGACCCAAACGCTGCAAGTAAACATGCATGTCCTCCATAGTACTGTTTCTCGAATTGTTGGCCCGATGCAACGCATCTCCTGTTAGCTGTGTCGAGTTGAGCGCTGCTATTGACGTGATATAGTCCTGAGAAGTCATATCCATAGCTGTAAATGGTTTGCGACACAGAATGATCACGAGGGGGGGAAAGTGTGGATTGGATGGGGAGGTATCAGATATATCCGCGTCGGAAGGAAGAAGGCAGGCCTGTCGAACGACTGACAACCCCGACGCCAATGAAACAGCTGTAGCTTCAGCGCACAGGAGCGAATCACGTGATGTGTCCATATCGGTTCAAAATACAAAGAGCAATGAGAAAAACATCGCAGTGCCTACATGGGGGCTACTTGCGCTTAGCCGCTCTCGCTCACGTCTCGCTTCCGCCCTCTCCCAAAAGCTTTCATCGTATATTTCCTCGAGGTATGCCTCCTCGTGGGAATAGTACCTTATTTCGGTTTCACATCCTCATCCTCCTTTCATTTCATTACACACATTTGTTTTGATTTGTTGCGTAAGTTTCTGTGGATGTCTCTTGCCGTGGTCCCTGTCCCTGCTTCTAAGGCATATTTTTTTCCCGCCTCTTCGTCGCCGGGATCGCTTTTTCCACCTCAAGCGTACCAGTCCCGTTTATGTTCTCGACGTTTACACGTTAGGGCGTCTAAATGAAGCGCCGACAGCCTCGGACAATGCTAACTATCATACATTTTTCAACTTACATCTCGCTCTGTTTCATTTCTGCCCTTCCCTGATCTGATTTTGCTGAGACATCCAATTGTGGGTAGCCAACAAAGAGAGGTCTATATATGGCACCAGCGAATGTCACGCCGATCCTTAAAGGTGTCGTTGCGTACTGCCACGTGTTTCTGGAAGACGGCTTGGACGTCAGCTCTGCAGTCGAGAAACAGGTCAAAGAGCTCGGCGGCAGTACAACCAGGCGCATAGCCGCTAGCTCTCACGTCTTCCTCTCGTCGAATGTCGACTATGCGATTTATACTGAAGCGCGTGCCTCGCAAAAACGACTGGTCACATCAGAGTGGCTGGAAGTTTGTAAAGCTATAGGCGAACGTGTCTCTACGGTCTGCTTCGAGCCTGTGGCACCATCGCCGCCAGCCTTTAACCTCAAGAAAAGGGAGAAATACACGAGCACTTCAGCCGCAAGACGCCGGCGCAGCAATAAGACATCGTACGAAACACTGGACAATGAGCACGCAAAATTGCCTTCGCCTTCTGCTAAATGCTTTAGCTCATCACAGATGAAAGACCCCCTCTTACAGCAGGAGGCCAGTCGCCGTATTCGGGGACGACGGCGCTCCTCGGCTGCCGCGAAAAAGCTTCGTTATCAACGAGATTTATCGCCCAAGATAGAGCAAGCTGAAACTTGCAGCCGACTTCAACGGAGTATAAATGATAGCGTCGGTCATGAACTCGCCAGGAATAGTCACGTGACGCCGCAGCAGTCGACAGGGGAGGATAGCATGTCACATGAATTTTCTGCCGTGGATGGATCCAACGACAACTGTAAAACAAGCTTACACAGTTCCATAATGGTGGCTAAAAGATATCTGGCTGAAGAGCTTGATCAAAATGATACCAGCCTGGTGCCTATGAACGAGGACGGGGAGAAGAGGTACACGCAAGCACAACTTGGCGATCCGAACGATGGTGCCAATATCACTTTGAGAGCCCCTCGAGCTTCTGGTCTTACCAAAGGGAAAGTAGCAAACCCGAAAGGAGTGGCATATAAAGTCAATGGTAGGAAAATTCAGCCTGAGGAGAAAGTGGAAACAGAGAAACGAAAGCCCGATTCGGCATTCACCACAATGTGCTCTGACGGCTGGCATTGTGCACGCTGCACATTCAAGAACCGTGCGCGAGCGAAAGTATGTGATGTGTGTCTTTTGCAGCGTGAAGAAGCCCCTATGGATCTGAATGACGCGCAGTCGAACGGAAAGGCAAGGATGACGTCAACTTCATTTGCCTTACCGCCTCACAAAAAGCTACGCCATGACCCTTCAGCTCAGGCACGGAGGAGCCGTATCTCGCACAATGATGAGAAAGCAAGCATGCGCCCCAAGCTTATTGATGCTACCAATAGGAAGTCTGAGCCCACGTCCTCAGCTCTTCCCTCGTCTTCTTTTAAGGTGCGCCACAAGGGTAAAGTCGAAGAGCTTCCCCTAGGAACACATCAGAAACAGGAAGACGCGCCGGAGCCCCGAATGCTGTTAGCCGTTTCTGGTGTAGACAACGATGTGCGCTCAACCTTGGCCGCGGAGGCGCGAAAACTTGAGAAGAATTTTCTTTTCGAGGGGGGCAATGTCTGTGGGATCTCCTTAGGGCCAAGAATGCTGCACACAGATGACCCCTCTGCGACTTTCACACACCTTTTGGTTCCCAAGGAGCGGGAGTGTCGGCGTACGCTTAAAATTCTTTTCGCTCTTTGCACGGGAGCGCATATTGTTACCGCTGACTGGCTTTCGGACAGCGCCAGTAAAGAAACGCTCCTCCCAGAGAATCGATACATTATCAGCCGCTTTCAGCGCCGTGTCAATGCGGAAAGTCGTCACATTGCCACAGAGGAGCTTGTTTACGTGGGTCCGTGTGAAACGCCGTCGCATCGCATATTAGCGAGGCTGCTTGTAGCCGCAGGCGGTAAGCAGACGATGTCGCTGCGGGACGCTACACTTGTCTTGTTGCAACCAGGACTCGCAGTATCTGAAAAATGGATAGCAGAAACCTTGAAGAGAAAGAGGACGGGCGCATGGCTGCGAGCCCTACTGGATGACTACCGTGTTGTCGAGCCGCGCTTCCTTTACGACGGTATTGACGCGGGTGCTCTGGCGAAAAACAGGGTACGTCGAACCGCTAGTTTGAAAAAAAAATAAGTACGGTATTTTTCATACCTTTTGCCTGGCGCTTATAGCTCACTTTCCGATATATTTCTATGTACAGGCAGAGTATGCAATATCGGTGGCGAAGTCAAACATGGGGGCAGGCAGGGAATGACGTAATCTGCGACCGAATATTTTGAGACCTCTGTCAAAACGAGGTGAAAGGCCTGCCAACCTCATGCACCACATCTTCTTCCAACAACTTTTATCAGATGCCCATTTTCCCACATTACGGAAGGAATGATTTGCACACAAACGAGAAGTCTTGATTTCTTGACCTTCACCATGGAATCCTTTGTTGATCTTTGGTTTCTTAATTGGCATGATTATTATCACGTCCCCAGTGTGTCTGCGATATAAATACAGCATAACACGAATTTTAAAATTTTCTTGACTTTAACTTTTCTCATTTTGATTTCCTGTCATTTCACTTCTTTCTTTTTTTCATTGATCTCTCAGACATCTACATAGAACACGTCGCCAACTTGCTGTCTTGGAGAGACGTGCCGTGCAAACAGAACATGGGCGACATTATTACTTTTCTTGTATCTTATTATATTACTGCAGCACACCGAGCCAATCGATAAGTGGAACGCATGTTCGTTCCTATTATGATCCACGACTTCGAAAAACTGGTCGGATTGCCTTGCCATGTCTCAGGTGTCTGAGGATGCGGCCCATCTCTTTCTTAGGAGACAGGCCACATAGAAAATTTCTATCGGCCTCGAGGGTACCTCCTAAGCTCGTAACTTTCTGTAGCTTGGCATCATATCATTTGATATGTCTAGGTACAACCTCAACTCGATGTGTGTCTAGCTAGCTAGTATGCTACCATACTGTGCATAAAGAGCTTTTGGTCATGAAAGCAGCAGTCTCTAACCTCCTGGCATCTCCTGGGGATACTTCCCAAGAGTCTTCGACTAGTGAAAGCAGCGAGGCGACCCTCGAAGCCCCGTTGGGCCACGGCAAAGGGTCATGACAACAATACCAAACATGTGGAGTAAAAATAAACTAAATCAACACACAGGCTTCAATCTTTGCTCCTCTGTCGACCTTTTAAATGCATTTCAATGAAGCAGCAAGGACGACTAGCAGCAGAGACAAGGAGCCAAGCGACTAGCTCGATGTCCCCTGACGATTGGAAAGATGATGCTTTTAACACTGGGCCGTCCACGACATCTTCGCCTTTGACAACTCAGTTGATGATAGGAGTGGAAAATGAGCCTACTGAATTCGGGACTGTGCGGGCTGGATTGCTGAAGCCTTTCTTGACTTGCAATCTTTGCGCTGGTTACCTGCGAGACCCCTACTTGCTCACGTGCTGCCTTTTCCGCCGCTACTGCAAGGACTGTTTAATTCGCAACTTGCGGCAAAGGGACAGTAGGTGTCCGAACGAGAAATGTCAGCATTATATAGGAGCAAAGTTGAGCTCTGTCGGACGGCCTGATATCCAGCTTAAAGATTTAATGGTCAAACTTCTGCCTCAAGTTTTGGAGGATGAACGCAGCCGGGAGGAAGCCTTTTACCGAGAGCAAGGGCTAAGCTGCCCGTTTTCGTCCTCTGTACAATTTTTTCCACGAGTTCCTCGGCCCGCAAATGAGCAACAAGCGAAGCAACGAGTGGAGACTTCTGTGCTCGACACCCCGCTAGACCAGGACTTGATTGTTTTGTGTCTACCCATGCTTACTGGTGATTGTGTCAACGAGGAAATGGTACTGGACAAATCCGCAAAAATTACAAGCGCACTCCCACCTTTAGAACTGCCTTATCTGAAAGTGCAGCGCCGAACTCTAGTGTCACATTTATGTCATGTCTTGGTTGCCTCGCTCAATCTGGAAGTCGATTCCTCAGGCGCTGGAGACATCGAATTGCTGTGCAGGGGTAAGGCTATCCCAGGACATCACTCTCTGTACTTTATTGAGCGAACTGTGTGGGGAAGCAATGGAACTCCTTTGACTTTGCATTATCAAAAGAAGAAAGTCGTGAGAAAGGGGTGAAAAGAGTAGAAGTGGTTTGAAAAAAATACAAAAGATCCTCTTTTGCTGCGAGAAATCCAATATGTATATATATATATTTACTTTTTTAAAAAAATAGACCATTGTGTCGCGAAAGTCTTAGAAAAAACGCTTGAGAGCACGCGGTGCCCGGTCGACTTGCTCGCTGCGACTTTCGACCGCTCTCTTTTCTTTATCTACCTTCCGGGCATCAGCCAATTTCTGTTTCAAAATTAAAGTCTTCTCGTCCACCACGTTCATCTGCTTTCGTTTCAACTTTTTGCCGAGCTTATTTTTGCCCCGCATTCGGTTTTTCTCCTTTTTGGGCTTAACAGGACGTCGGTCTGCTTCTCCCATCATATCCCGCTGCTCCTTCATCAACTCGTCGGGCTGCCGATCCACGGCCCCGATACTGCGAGGGTCTAACGTGATCGTTTCCGGCGCCAACTTGTCCAGCAGGCCGTGTACTTCCGCCTCTCGACGCTGCTTCCGCGACTGGAATGGGTTCGCCTCTAAGCTATCAAAGTTGGGCTCTCCCGCCCCCGGTACAACCATGGAGACGTATCCGCCCTTGTGCCCGATGCCAAGTACGTCCTCAAAAGGCCTGAAACGCAGCGTGTCCACCGCGTTCCCCGGGATGTCGTGACGGACGTAAGGCGAATGCGCCTTTTGCGCAAGAGCATCTTTCCAAACGGTCACATGGCAGCCAAATCCTACAGCAAGTAAGCCTCGTTGACTGATATCTATACTGGAGGGAGCGGTAGTAAAAGTGTAGTGGTGTAGCTGCTTGTAGAGGCGAAGGTCCCAGACCTTCACCTCCCCATCCATCCCAGCCGACGCCATGTAGCGTCCTTCGCGATCGATTGCTATGCCTGAGACAGGACCGCGGTGGCAAAGCATGGAAACAAGGGACTGTCCCATGCTGGGGCTCCATAAAGACACAACCCCTGAGGCGTGGCCAAGATGCAGGACGGCGTTGAAAGGGTTTTGCCTGATAGCCAGACAGACGCCCTTTCTGGTGTTACACTCTGCCACCAATTTTCCTGTGGATACATCTTGGTATTTTAGCCAACCAGCTCGTCCCACGGAGGCAAGCAAATAATGGTAGGGCAAAAATGCAAGGCGGTTTGGGTCAATGTGGCCCCGCAGACAGTGTAGCTCCAGTCCTTGATTATCGTAAAGATACACGTACTTCTTTTGGGCCACAGCAAACATGCCTTCATTGTGCAGAAAAGCCAAGTCTCGTACGGGTGTCCGCAAATGAAGCTCGCGTGTCACATCCGTGCGTAGGGAGTCGATTACCGCAACATGTCCCTGGCGTCCGCCCAACAAAAGGTGTCGACCATTGCGTGCCCAGTCCAGCGTGTAAGGCCCCAAAACCGGCAAATCAAGGTGGAAAAACTGATTTGTGGTCTGCAAATCCACGTGGCGCTTCATATCGCGTTGCGTCAACTTCCAAGATTGGTCCAAGAGGCCCTCTTGCTCCAGGTAACCTGCCTCATGTGGCAAGAGCATATCAAAACGCGCAGCCTCTAAGGCTGCTTCTCGGTATCTCTTCTCAGTTCTCTTTAGCCTGCTTTTCAGTCGCTTGTCCGTCAATTTATGGATTGAACTGGGGCCCAACCCATTCTCGTACAAGACTCGTGACTTCTCGTCCCTTTGGCGCTCCAACGGCGTTCCAGCTGACTGGTATGTGTTGACTAGGGGTCGCTTGCCCTTGCCTTGCTTCTCAGTCGGGTCACCCATCGTCGTGTCCAGCTTGCAAGATGCGTCTGAATGCGATTTTGAGCCGTCGTTACCTCTCTTTCGATTAGTTGGACTCATTTTGTTCACACCTCAGAAAGTAGAACGGAGGAGGAAAATTATGAAGATACCCTGCACAGGCGGGCGTTTACACTGGGTGGCCTAGAATAGAACTACTGTAAGCATCATAAAATTTGACGATTTCAGCATGTGAGCGAATACGAAGCATTGTGGAGGCCCCACTCAATTGGGGTCTGATGTTGTATGCACGTCTCCCAGTTTCAACTCTCCCACTTCTGCTCCGGGTAGTGTCAGCCTGACGGTCAGAGAGGCTTCCAGCGACGCTATCCAATCGCCGCGACCACTTGCATCGTAAAATATGAGGGGATGCCATGATTCAACTAATGCTGTGCAGTGTAGCATTCACTGTTTTTCGCTTGTGTCCTTGTACAGTCTCATCCATCCGCATCTCCGACAAAGAAAATCACCAAAATCATTCGTACTACCTCATTTCGCATGCCTGCTCTGTTCAAGACAGTTTCCATGACATTTTATTTTCCTAGCTGTTCAAGCAATACTCTCTTATCAACCTTGCCCATAGCATTTTTTGGTATCAAATTGACTATATACATTGTACGAGGTAACATGTGCGAAGCCAAACGACTGGCCAGAAAGTCGTGGAGACCTTCAGTGGTTAAAAGTCCGGTGCGCTTTTCAAGCGGGTTTCCGCTTACATTTGCGCTACGCATGGCAGTCTCTTTAATCCTTACCACTGCTACCACCTCGTCACCCCACTTTGAATGGCATCTTCCAAGCACGACAACCTCAGCTACTTGCTCGTGCTCTTGAATTGCTGCCTCAATTTCTAGAGCACTTATTTTGTAACCTCCAGAATTGAGTATATCAGCAGACAAGCGACCCACAATTTTAAACCCTTTCTCAGGGTCATATTTGCCCAAATCCCCCGTCTTGTACCAATTATCCTCGTCGAAGGCCTTGCGTGTGACTTCACTTCGGTTGTGATAGCGACTGAAGAGGCCGTGTTCCGAGCGGACACGCACCTCTCCCTGCTTCCCCGGCTCCCTTGTCACATCCGCTTCTGTCTCCGGATCTACTAGTCGAACATCCACCCCCGGGAAAGGAGCACCCACGTGGCCAGGAAATCGAGAACTGACTGGTGTCAACGGATTGCTGAGGATCATGCCCGCCTCTGTTGTACCATACCTCTCTAATATGCGATGACCTGTCAAGGCCTCCCATTTCAAGAAGCGACACTGAGGAAGAGCAGCCGATCCGCTTACAATCAGGCGCATCTGGCGCAAATGCTGCAAGGCTCGCTTCTGGGAGGCTTCGTCCATTCGACCCGATTCCAGCTCCTCGAGCATCAATGCATAAATGGTGGGCACTGCATGGAACATGGAAAGCATCGGCTTTGTAGGATCGGCCAATCGATCCCAGATGGCATTTGCGTTGGCTGATCCAAGAAACTCGACAACACCACCAGCCCACAAGACTGCCAGACACTTGTTCAGTAATCCATGAAGATGGTGGAGGGGGAGAAACTCCAGGACACGGTCGGTAGGAGCGTAGTTCCAGGCCTTCACCACACCCTTGCACATCTCTGCGAGCTGAGCATGGGTTTTGACAACACCCTTCGGCCGGCCTGTTGTTCCACTTGTGTAGACGACTACAGCGTCCGCATTTTCTGACGATTCAATCCACTCCACGATTTCACTGTATTGATGCCCCAACATGGCAGCCTTATCTTTTCCCATCCTCATCGCAGCTATCTTCTCGAGGTCTGATTGATCTGTGCCTGGAATCAGGTCTACAACTTCAATGTCAAGACCCTTCGATCCGCGGAGCAAGGGGGTGAGATTGGAGCGAAATTCAGGATGCAATAATACCTGGGCGCAACCAGAATCTTGCAAGATAAATTCAATCTCACGCTGTGGACTGCGCGAGTAGATTGGTACAACAGCACCTCCGGCTTGCAGGACACCCATAAATCCAAGACAGAAGGTGTGATCTTGTGGAGCTAGCAGAGCAATTGGTCGGAATGTAGAAGGACTCGTGGATGGCGACGAAATGACTGTTCTTCCCAGACGGGCTGCGATCACTGCCGATTCTTGCAATATTTCGGAATACGTAAGATTAAACCCGCCTTTAGACGAAGTGGTGGCGATTTTTGGTCCGTGATCAACAAGTTGCCGAAATATCTGCAGCGAGGGCAAAGGTAATTGTTTCATCTACCCTGTTTTGATGCATAAAAGAAAGGTTGGGTGAGCGTGTACAAAAAAAGGTGTACTGTGCCGCCAGATACGATCTTTCATTTACTGTTGCTCTTCTGTTTGACTCTGGGAACTTTGAGCTGCCAGATTCTCGATTGAGAATGAAAGACACGGAAGAGAGTTTCTTTATTTCTTCGTAGACGCAATTATCGATGCCATCACTAGACTTCCTAGTTTATTCGCGCATGTCCAAATATCTAGTGAATTTGTTGTTGTTGGCCTATCCTTAGAAGTCCTCCGCCATGATATTCAAGACCAACGCTGTCCATCCCGTAAATGGATGACATCGCATTCCTTGTCCATCAACATCACTATACTGCTCCCAAAAGTAGCCTGTCGTCTGGTACTGGCCCAAAATTGTACGTAGAAGGGCATCTCTTAATCTAGTGTAGAGCTCCTTCGCTTCACTTTGGTAAGGGCCAACAGTGCGGGTAAGGTGCCAGAGGGAGCGAAGGATCAAGTAATTTGCATTAATCCACACGTATCCACGCCAATACGGAGCATCGCCTAGTGGACAGTAAGGGAAACAACATATTAAAAAGAAGCTCAGCATCCACACTTCGCCACCCACAATCATGGCTATATCTAGTAAATAAGGTGCAAGCTTCGATAACCAAGCAATTTCAGTCTGCAGAGCGCGAAGACTTACCGGGTGCGTTTTCCTTGTGGTAAAAGGGATCTGACGCAGAGAGAGAGCGGATCCCGTATGGGCTCCAGAGCTGGGCAGGATCCTTCAGGGAGTCTAGAAGAGGCCTTATCCGGTGGCTGTCAGCGGGCAACAAACCCAGCAAAAGGGGAAAGAGGGTCACATAACCTCTCCTTGGCACATGCTGTGCAGCAATTTCCGGACCCCTAAAGTATTCAAGCGTGGCTTCCTGTGAAAGCATTCCCAAAGGGGTCGGAAAATCGGGCGGGCAAATTTTCGTCTCTCCCTCCCCCCCTTCATCGTCCCACTGCATAAGAATGCTTCGCTCTACGCGTACGTTGGTCACTGTTTTACTTGTGGGGTTTCCACATCGAACAGGGTAGGTCTCGCCAATGTATCCGTCCTCTGAGTGCATTCCATAGTCGAAGTATCCCCCCAAGGTCTCGTTCCAATGCAAGTCATCCAATGCTCCAAGGAGCTCCTCCGCCACTGTAGCGTACTTCTTGCCTCTCTTCTGCTGCACTTTTTCTGCTTCCCCAAGCGAATGTGCTGCTCGCTCAAAAGCAAGCTGCGAGAGAATTTGGCAACCCTTTATAATCCAGCAAAGAAGATCGACATGACGCTCTTCCGGCCCGGGCTCCGACGCACGCGGGAAGTCATCCAGTCCAGAGGCGAAGGTAGTAGCCATCAGCTTCTCTTTGGGATCACCTCGCCCACGCCAGCGAAAACTACCCAGATTTTCACCACGCTGTGAGCTCAAGAGCCACAATAACCACCGTTCCAAACGATCTTGAATGGCCTCTAAAAAGTCTGATTGCCTTGACATGCTGGATATTTGCGATCTCCTTCCGTCCTCATCTTTTACTTCACACTGGTCGGCTGAAGCCCCCGATAAAGTCAACATGTCCTCGAGAGTCAGCAGAAATGATGGAGGGTTTGCCACAGCTACGTCCTGTGGCAAGAACTCGGCGGGGATACGACGACGAGCTTGCTCGCCCAGAGCGATTTCACGAGGGATCCAGCCCAGGTCTTGGCACTTCTCATGTGCATGCATATTCGAGAGCCAGTGCAAGAAGACGTCATAGGTCAGTTCCGAGTCCCATTTATGCAAGATTAGCTGATGAAAGCCCTCGTCCCACAAAAAGCCTCGCGGGAAAAAGCTGCGGGAAGGCACAGCAGAAAACAGGCTGGTAGGAAAAGAATCCAGTACTCTGGTTCCTCCACTCCCGCCTTCCTCCCATTCAAATTGACCTCTGATTGGCGTACGACCATGAAAGAAACCCACTCCGCCAATCAGATTACTGAAAGCCGCCTCGGCGGCCTCTATCTCTTCACTCGTAAAATTGCGTCCCCTGTAGCCATGCTGGCTGAGGGGGAAAACCGACGCAAACCTTTCTTTGAATTCCTCTAGTCCTCGGCGAGTCGTGCGATCAAGCAAACTTTCTATCTCTGCAACATCTTCCGATCCCGGCTCATCGTCATCGTCATCTCCGCCCTTCTCCCTCTCCTGCGGCGTCCGAGGACGCAACCTCGCGTCAATTTGGAACGACCCCGAGCTGGCAACGCGAAGCACCACTACATTGCTATTCGCCGGTATTTCATCTGGCAATACGCTAGACTTGCCACGGTTGTGCTGTGCTTGGCGATTTCCTTTCAGCGGAGCAGGCCGGGCCTCACCCACCAGCCTGGCTTTCAGGTCTGCGAGCAATACGTTGGCACCTCCCCAGTAGGTAATGGAAAGCGCAGGTGGGGAATCTGGAGAAGTGTCTTTCGCGCCGTCTGCGCCACTCCCGCTGATGTCTCTCTGAATGTCTACGGTGGCGGTCAGTGATGTAACGCCCACCTCCAGCGTGAAATCGCCAAGATCAGAGGTCTTTCCACGGATGAATGCAGCTCCACTCCTTTTGCGGCGGTCTATCAAGATATCAAGCCCTTCGGCCCCATTCTCCAAGCAATTGCTGGCACTCACAGCCCCATCGCAGTCTATAGCCACGTACAGAAACACCGCTCTCTGGTCTTTCCCGCTCAGCCCTTCACTCTTCTTGCTCTGAGCCTTTTTGCCCTTTGTAGCCACTTCCCTGTCAACGACACCGTCCGTAGCTTGTCGATCAGGATGTACGAGGATGCGGGCACCCCAATACCCTTCTTCTTCACTTCTCAAACGCACATATTCCGTTACGAGATTCACATTCTGGGCTGCGTCATTGATCACTTGTCGTCCGTAATGCCGCCCATCGTGTTGAGTCCATCCGTACTTCTTGATACGGTCCTCTTGGCGGCACTCACTCCGAGCATCAGCTATACCATGCTCAGGACCATGCCAAAGTAGACCAACGGCCACAGTGGCGGGCGTCGTGCGGGACTTGACGCCAAAGTATTGGCCAGGCTGGTATGTTCCCCACAAAAAGGTGACATTATGCTGCGCTGTCAAAACCTGCCATACATACAGATTGAAAATCAGCCAAGTCAATGATCAATATCCTTTGTGTACGCCTGAAGGTACTCGCTTTAATTCCAACTTTGAATGGTCTTGGGTATTGACGGTAGAAAGGGGTCAGTGCGGTGTATATCTCAGATCATTTTCAACGTTACAGGCTTTACCTTACTCACAGCATCCTCCTGTGCGTCTGAGATGACAGGACCTTTGATCCAGCCCTCTGGATCTGTTGCACAAGCATCTATTCCGGGGTTAATTAGGGTTCCCAATATTGGTGCATTGAAGGCCCTGATAACGTGGAGAAGGAGTAGGGACAGCCCCAAAATTCGAAACAGCCAAAACATTTGTCTCATTTAAACATAAAGCGAGCTGTTGACAGGCTGGTCAGATTATGCTGGCCGCGGGGCTGATCTCTGATGTGGGAGTAGTCACGGGTGAGAAGGCGCTGCAGAGGGCTCTGAGGGAATTCGAACGCCGGGGGCGGAAGGTGCCGAGGCCGAAGTAAGCGATTTTCGGCGATGTCAAGGAAGGAGCAAGCAAAAGCGAAGAACTAGCTACGCGCGCAACGGAGCGTGCTCCTTGCTCCTTCCTCTTGGAATCTGTACAGCACTATCGACGCAAGGTACGTATGTTTCCTTCTCTAGCACAATTCCGGTACACAAACGGGCCGGAAATAGCTGAAAGAATATTAAATCCACCCGTGGCTGAGACCTTTGGAAGTAAATTTTTTCGATACATATCTGTTGGATACACGCCCATGGTAAACTCCAAAAGCTCACCATAGAGAGGCCGTTTTCTAGGTGTCCGAAAATCGTGTATAGAGGTACGCGGTCACCTCTCGATAGATCGTTTGAAATATCACTAATCTCCTCTCGAATATCGCAATCCTATCAACTTGAAAGAGATTGAATCAACCTGCGAAATCTTTGGTACGTGACGAAAGGATATTTGAGAATTATCTCAGCCACAAAATACTGAGTATGGATTGAAGTATACGATCCTCAAAAACTTGAATGAACTCGAAGAAAATTATATCCTGGATGATATCATTCGCCGTTTGAGTCGATCTTGATTGCTTTCAAAGTCCGTATCTTCAGGGACAATTTCCCCTCCTCGATGACGGCAAGATGCACGGGGAGAACAGCGTTTCCGTCCTTAAGGGTCGGAATTTTGCAATCGTGCTTGGAGCACGTTTCTGGCAAGTCTTCGCGCATCTTCAAAGCTCATCCGTCCCCTCCTCCGGTGAAAAATCGTCATCATCTGACATTTCTTCGCTGTCCCATTCGTCGTCTTCATCGTCTGTAAAATCTTCGTTATCCTCTGAGTTGTCAGTGGGAGAGAATCTGTATGTCGGTATATCTTTACGATTGGCGCGTTTCTTCATGACGTACGTGGCAACAAGCTTGCCTTTTTCCTTTTCAGTGGTGCCTTCGAAGATGTGGAAGGTATGACCGTCGAAGGTATTCATGCTCTTGGGGACCCCTGGCTGCAAGGCTGCAAAGAAAGTGTCCTCCCAGTATAAGCTATAGCCTTTATTCGTGCTCAGAAAGTTGACTGTGAGGCTCCCGTCGTCCTCTTCCTCGACTTGGCTTGTATGTTCGTCCCCGTGAACATTTCCGTTCCAAACCCATAGATTTGCAGCCCACTTGACGCCCTCCAACACTGGGCAGCCTCCATGCAGCGAGGCGTTGTCCTGACCACCCTCTGGTAGCTGATTGTAGAAGAGAACTGCCTGCGCCTTCACAGGCCTGACAGCTAGTTTACTGCGACACTCGACAACCAAACGTTCCTGCCAGGAGCCAGGCTTGATTCCGATGGCACGCAAGTCAATGTCTTGGCTTTCCATCTCTTTCAGAGCCTCGCCATAGCTCTTGTCCGTGCCGTCCAATGCTTTACCTGCCGGAAAGACTGTCTCTCCCCCCGCGGCCACGTCTGTCAAATAAACGACGACGGTGGCGAAACGATTGGAACCACCAGGCCGGGCCGAGTCCATGCGAGAGCCCTTTGGATGCTCCAGATAGTCAAAGTGACTGTTGTAAGCCTTGGTCAGGTTGTAACGTAGAATTTGCAAGCCGTCTGCCCATGCGTTTTTGTAGGGTCTAATGCCCAAAAGGTCAAAAATGCGTCGTTTCAAACGAAGCGATGCCGGGGAATTTAAGTCCCAGGCATTTTCACTCGTGCGGTGACTATCTTCTTGCGCAGACGCCCCCTGTCCTGTTGTGGAGCGATGAAGTCCGTTTACTGGGTCCTTCAGGTTCAGAGTGTGAGCGATAAGCTCGTCAGCCTCCTGAGACGTGAAAAAGTTGTTCAGACGGAAAACCTTGGGGGACTCGGAGAGTGTCTCGACGATAATGGGCTCCCCGTTGCCGGAAGCCACGTGCCTGACTTCCACCTGATGACCCCGCTTGAACGTGGGCCAGATGAACTCCCGGTGTCGGGGGACCAACCATAACTTATCATCGTCCACAAGTTCGTCGCAGTTAGAGACCTCCCAGCCATTGTGCAGAAAGACTCGGCAGCTGCTTCGCCCCTCGCAGCCCCACTCCTTGTCGACTTCGGCGCCCAGAGTCGCAGCAAGAGTGAGAGGGGAGCGGCAGAGCCGATCCCGCGGGACGACAACGTTAATAGGATTTGAGGAGTCTCCATTCTTGTACAAGAAAAGTCCCAAAACATCGGCTTCGTGGTGCGGAGTCACGGGCGGATTGATGGAGTCAGTAAGGACGTGAGGTCGAAAGGGCGCACTCTTGAGGTCCTCCAAGGTGGGGCCATGGCCAAGCAGGCGAGCCGTCGGCCGGGCCACATCTTCCGAGGGGTTCGCGTCCGCAAGTACTCGCCGGAAGGGTTTCATACTTTTTCCAGTGTGCCTATCAGTAGAGACCGAAAACTCGATACCCTTGCGGAAAAGGCTTCTCATGAAGTCCTGAGTAGTTCGCACCATCTTCGCTGGGGAATACATGTAAGCTGTCATTTTGATGAGAGATTGGCACCGTGTTTCAGCACTTTTCCTTCTAAGCATAACGTCCAAAAGTCTAATTTTTAGCATTAAACTGATCTTTCCCGGACCTCTTTGCTCGCTGCAGTGGTCGACTGTACTTACCAAGAAGAGCAACCAGCGCTGCGCAAACAAAGCTGCAAATAAGAAGGTAATCGTAGCGTTGAGATTGCGGCTTCGTCTTCGTAGACAATTGAGAGGAGTTATGCTTCAGAGATGAGGACGCCTTGCCCCCTGCCCCTGATGGAGCTGCCACACGGCTGGTTTTCATTCCTTTCAGACTGTGAGACAACGCTGGTGAGGTAAGAATAAATGAGCGAACATTCAAGGGATGAATCCACCACTGAGCTTTAATAGTATGCGTTTCTGGCTGAATTCAATGACTCGGAAGATGCATCTCAAGCGAACCATATGTTTGATTTCAAAGCCAGGTAGATGTTATGTGCTAACGCCAAAAGTAGGCCCATAGACGGAAGGTGGTTTAAATGCGTGGGACCTTCGGTGCGCAACATACGGGATGAGGGTCTCAGCCACAACAAAGTCAAACCGAAAGTTGCGAACTTTTGAGCACGCAACAACAGAAGAATGCATCTGGAGTCTTGAGCACTCCTCCTAGATCAACTAACCCCCCCGCCCGGCTTTATCTTGGACGAACGGAGGAAGAAACGGCCTCGACGCTAGATCCTCGTCCTCCTCTTTCCTCCATAATTTTATATGGTTGCTTTGTTGTACATCATGTCCCTCTGGCTTTTCAAGCTTACTCGTACGCATCTGTACTGCCAAGCGTTCGTCTTCCATGTCATTTAATGCTTCCTTTCGTGGCCGACCGTCCCCGCCACCTCCCTGTGCTTGGAAGCCCCTGCGCGTACGGTCGCTAAAACTGTTGAAGGACAGATCAGATGGAGAGAGAGGCCTCGGCCTTCGCAGCGATGAAGGGGATGACCGGGTCCGACGGGATCTTTAATGTCTTATTTACTCAGCATGTGGATTCTCGCGCAACGTGCTTGGCTCATGAACAATTTAGGACATCCGAGTTTTAGTAGCGGCCTCGTCCAGTACAAATTAAAAAAGAGGAGGAAACGGAAACGGTTCGATGGGGCATCCGAGAACATTGGGTAAGGAAAGAATTAGGGGAGAAGTGAAGTATCCCGGGGGAAAAAATCTTGCGCGCTCTTTCGCTTCAATTTTGTTAGGTTGGAAAGTTCCTAGCGTGGCCACCTGGGAACGTGAGCGGCATGTGTATCGACACAATAAAGGTTTAGCGGAAGCTTCAGACGCGTGCTCTCCCTAAAATTAAAAAATAAGTAGAGGGTTTCCGATAGAACGACGGCACTACTTAAGCTCTTAAGATGCGGCTTTAAAATGCTTCTAATTTTTTTTGTGTCCTCGTAGTTCCTGTAAGAATGGTCACTTTGGCCGAAGTCCTTTATCCTCTGCATCATTATTATCGCTCATCGACTTAGTACCCCCAGGCTCCACACATTGGGAAGACGTCGGGGCTGACCAAGTGCAGGGGGCTGCCATTATTGCGATTAGTTATCTGCTCTTATTGCCGCTTTGACAATGATGATCGAAAGGCTACATAAATTGATAAGCAGTCTAAGTGTGTAAACCATCGCGCACAACAGGAGCAAAGACGTATAAGGTCCTCAAGAACTATGCAAATGTATTTTCGTGACTCGTGTATGCTGTAACTGTGCTACATTCTTCTTTCATTTGCATGGACGAATTGAAGAAGGCCATGGAATATGATCAGCCAGACACAAGCCTCCGATCCCTCACATTACTTTTGCTCAACATAACCAAAGCTTATTGATCGACTTTGGAGAAGTAATGCAATCATCTCCGCCAATTGATCTGTCACGCGGTACAAAGATCGCATCCAAAATCCTGGCCACCAGGCCAACTCTACTTTTTGTGGGCTGATGACGAGAGCAGACCCTGGACCGTGATGACAAGGCGGCGTGCGTGACCCCCGCCGAATCCACCGGCATTACGGTGCTCGCACAGGTAGATTCCTTGCCAGTTGCCCTTGTATTGCATAAATGTGGCGGGCGTCAGCACATTATTCAGGGTTGCCGCTACAAGCGCCCCAAAAATCCCTCTCCCACACAGCCTGCACACAAAGTGAAGCACGCGGCCTTACCAGCGCCAGCCTGCCGTTCGAGACGGGAATCGTCAGGTTTGCTCCCACGATAGTCGACTTTACATGGCCTGTAATATCGTCCGGGCCTTCATCCCTGCGTGCAAAGACAAGATAATAAGTTTTCTTGCAGTTCCGGGACAGTATCCATTTCCCTTCCTTAGCGCTTACACATGGTCGAGCAAGCCATCTGTAGCCCAAGACTCTGGGACTAGCATATTTAAGGCTTTCTCCATGTCCGTGCGAACTTCGTGGGATAAAGGAGAGGATATAGTCAGGACGTTTGAAAGGGAGAAAAAAGATCGCAAGAAAGCAACGGGGCGTACCAGTAGGATCAGCATTCTCGTTGATAGAAAGGGAAGCCGAGGTGTGCTGAATAAAAACACTGAATGTGCCTATTAAAAATTTGCGTAGCTCAGGCACAGCCGCCAAAATTTGGTCCGTGATGAGGTGACAACCTCGACCTTTTGCTTGCACTGTGAGACTTTTTTGCAGCCACGCTGTTTCACCCTTGCAAATACCTGTTGTCATTGTTCTTCAAGAGGAAACCGATAAGCTGTTGAGGAAGAGGGAGGAGGGTTTAAAATCAATAAAACACTCTTTCGCGCACAGTTTTTCTCTCGTCTTTAGGCAGTCACTTCTGCTGTTGGCAAGTGCTTGGGATGGGCGACAAAAAATGTACACGATCATCCCCAAATGGGATGCGCATGGTGGGAATACATCCAAATAAACCGTTCATAACCTCCCGCCCCCCCAGGCAATGAATGCAGCCTATCCCGCGGAATTTGTGACCCCTCCTCCGCGTTGAACGCGTCGGTAGCGTGTTCACATCTCATTTCTATTGAACGAATTGGTAAAAGGACTAAGAACATATTTAATTGTATTTGTGGAGGATTTTTGACAAGAGGGCACATTGTTTTCTGTCGGACCCGAGACGGGCCTCGGACGGGCCCGGGACGCTTGATAGAGTTGAATGGATACTAAAGAAGGGTTTATACATATACATATACATATACATATATTGAAAGGAACAGACACGATCTCCCTGCAGAGAGGGCGAGCATGTCAAGTTTCGTTTGCTTTTATGTCTCTCGTGTGCTTAATCAACAGACCATTTTGCCTTCTCGCACCACAGCACCTCAAAAAGCCACACATTACAAGAGAGGCAACTGCTCAAAAGAGGATCGCAATCCGTGCAAAAGCTCCCGAAACAACCTTCCCGCATCCTCTACGTCTACAGCTTTATTTCTCCTTCCTTTAAAGTTGCCTGCTGCGTCCCACAGTTTAAAAAAACAATAGTCTTCAGGGAGACGTGCATCTTCCCATCACGAAGGACGTCAGTTTAAAAAGACAAGAGCATCACCTTATAAATGTGAGCGATCACCAAACCTGCGACACAAGGAATTAATTGATAAGAAAGCACCATATTGATTTATTAGGATCAGGATGCCATTGCGAAGATCAAGAGCTTTTGTCGGGAACACTTTGCTCGTTCACCCTCGAGGGCAGGCCTGGACGTCGGTCCCTGTAAACGCTGCGTTCGAAACGCCACGTTCCTTATATGCCCGCCCCGTCCTATCTGTCGGGAAAATGAAACTTGCTGCTGATATGCAATCGTTCCGGGATGGATTCCGCACGCTTTTCTTTCCGGGTGTTGGCATCTTAAGTCTCGGACTACCTTTTCTACTAGTTGGGGTACTAGTCGGAAAGCCCTCAAGTGGAGAAGCTAAGGACACCAATCTCAAGACGAAGAGATCATCGTTGTTAATCGCATCAAATCCTCTGTTTCAAGAATATAGGTTTTCCAAGGCTTTGGTGATCAAATTGATGGCCAGCATCATCCTTGACTTAATAGGTGATGGTTCACTTCTAGTGCCAGGACTCGGTGAGGTCAGTGACTTTCTATGGGCGCCTGTGAGTGCCGCAGTCGTTCGACTCCTGTACGGAAATAATGTTCTTGCTGCAGTGAATTTGTTGGAGGAGTTGCTACCATCCACGGACATCATTCCGACGGCTACCATTGCTTTCTTACTGGATTTCTTCTGGCATGAGGAAGGAGCCCAGTCGCCCTCAAAAGAGGGCAGAGCACGCCCTGCCACTCCTGCAGACGTGATCGATGCCAAAGTCACGTCCATCCGGGATAAAAATTTAAATTGAGTGCAAAGTAAATGAAACAATGAGAAGTCAACCTTCTGGACCCCGTAGAGGCTAGAAACCGGCTTCTCTTTTGCTCTTCCTCACCACTTCTACTCTCGCAAAGGCTTTAGACCCAACCTACTCCGCATCTCATTCCACTCGCTCACAGACTTCTTGTCCCCATCAAGCACACGACCGTCGTCGGAGCGTCCAGGGATGCCAGAGGGAGGGGGAGCCGCGCTCGCGGAGGCTAGCTTGTGCAGCTTCAGGCCTTTGATGACGAGTCCCTTGTTGCTTTTGACCTTTCTGGACCTCTTTCTACGCCTTTCGCTAGCAGAATGACCTTTACCTGCGGAAGAGGCCGAAGAATAGCCGGAAGATGAGCGCGAGCGCCCGTGACGGCGCCTGGAGCGGCCGGAAGACCCGAGGTGACGAGCTCGAGGGGGAGATCCGCTGCGGGACTGCGAACTCGAAAACGACCGCCGACGCCGACGCTTCTGACTGCGGCTCCGGCTCTTACTTCGGTTACGCCGGTGGTAGCTCCCCCTCCGCCCCCCTGCACTGCTCTCCCCACCCCCGCGCTCACGTCGGTGACGGGCCTCATCGGTCCCCTCATGATCCTCCTCTCTCCGTATTTTCTTCCTTTCTTCCCACCGGTCCAGCGACCGTCGGCGCAGCCTACAATCTGAGGAGGGCGAGTCAGAGATGTCCCGGCGATGACGTGCTTGACCACGTGTGTCAACCTCCTCTCGGAACCCCGACCGAGGGCCGTGCTCTCCCCCGCCCTGGCTCTCCGCACACCGGTCCCCGCCTCTGCCGTTTTGCGTGTTCCCTTCGTCTTCCGATTGTTTATCCACAGTCTCATTGTCCTTTTCAAACGTGTCCAAGTCCTCGTCGTCCAAGGCACTGATCCGTGGCGCCAAAAGTTTTTGATCCTCTAACAAATGTCGCTTAGGAAGGTGAGGTAGAGCCACGTCACAGCAGTAATCGCTCGTCAATAACTCTTCAATGAACTCGTCCATGTGTTTAAGGGCCCATCCAGCAACACCCCGAAATCGGAGCTTTCGGTAGTCGTTGTAAAGTGGCTCCAGGTACTGATAGATGTCCAGCGGTTTCCCCACCAGGCGCAGGTAGAAGGCGCCAAGCACGCGCAGATATTTATAGTCTTCATTTTTTATGAACTCCACCACAATCTCTTTTTCGGGCTGAAGCTGAAGCATCTTGAGGACCAGGCACATGAATTTCGTCGGCTTTTGCATGCCTCCGTACTGGCCACCGTAAGCTTTCAGTCCCACTGCTTTGTCTACGAGCGTCTCGGCTGTCAAACCGAAGCAATGCTCCTTCCAGTACAGGCTGTTGTATATTTTCTGACGCAAAATCTTTTCGATTAAAAATTGTGGATTTGTACCATGTACAGTAGTTACTGTCGGGTCCGTACGGTTTGCCATGCTGCAATGCTGTCTTAATGCGGACAGTCGCGGCGACAGTGAGGCGTGCGCCTAGGCGGGTAAGACCTTCTCCAGGCGGAGCTGGGATGCCAGAGCACGTGCGGCACAGCTTCTTGCGATTAGCTTCGTGCTGTGTTGCAGTGGAGCATTAGAATATGAATAAATTGGGAGAAATAACAGGGTGACCAGGTGGTATGCAGATCAAGAGGAAGGAGGGCCAGGCCGCGGGCGAGAGGCAGGAGGTCGGAGACACTGCTGCCCGCGTACACGAGGCTCCTCGAAGTTCAGTACACCAACGCCCGCGTTATCTCCCCACCATCCTTGTGACGTTTAGAGAGGGTGCAACGATTAGCAAGCCGCGGAACCCATGTCTTCATTTTACTGCCGCTGAAGAACTTTAAGAGACAAAGGTTTACATAGAACGATGATCCGTTAGCTACCGTTTTTCACTTTATATTTGAGAAATTTAGAATATTGACCCTATCATATCAACATCCATCCTTGTACGGTATTGCTCCGGTGTAATATCGTAAGCGTGTATCCACACATTTTCAAGCACCTCCAGCGCTGGCTGTCTCGGCTAGGAGGGCCTCCAGCTCATCCCACTCCGCGTACAAGGATTCTACTTCCGAAGCAAGAGCTTCCTTTCTTTCATTCAGCTCCATTACTTTTGCCACATCACATCCTGCGTGATACATTTTTTTCCCGTACTCTTCCGCCTTCTTTTCTTTATCCTCAATAATCTGCTGCAATTTTGCAATGCGCTTGGGGGCGGCTGATATTCTCTTGAACCGCGCTCTTTGCTCTTGATAAGTAATCTTGGGCTTCTCCGGGATGCCATCATTCTTTTCTCTCCCGCTGGTTGTGCTTCGGCTGCTTTTCGTGCTTGATTCTTCGCCCTTTGCACGTGTCGAAACTACCGGACTCGCCCTAGCATCACTGCCTCCCTGCGCGTCAAATGACCAGTCAGACGGGCGCAGCATGCGCTCCTCTACAACGAGCCGTCGATTCTTGATAAGACCCACATGCGTGACCTTGAGTCGCTCCACAAAGGCCTTATTATGGCTAATGACAACTAGGGTGCCCCGGTACTCGGCCAGCGCCTCACTGAGCGTCTCCATGGTTGCCACGTCCAGATGGTTGCTCGGCTCGTCCAGCACTAGCAGATTGTGCGGCAAGAGTGCGAAAACGCTCAATGCCACGCGAGCTTTCTCACCGCCCGAAAGCGCCGAAATAGGTCGCATGGCTTTTTCCCCCGTCAGTCCCAGTGCCCCCAGCGCTCCACGCGCTTGCTGGTCGCTGACACTGAGATCTTTTTGGCGCACGGTGGAGAGGACGTAGTCTAGCGCAATATGCTCCTGAGGCAAGTCCTGCGCCAGGTCCTGCGTGAAAACCCCCATCTCCAGGCCCTCGCCAAGAATCCGTTCGCTGCTTGCTCCATTGAGAGCGGGAAGCGAACCCGTCAGAGCCTTGAGGACAGTGGATTTTCCACAGCCATTGGGACCCAATAACACCATACGAGTCCCCCGGGTGAGCGTGAAGTCCACTTCCTTCACCAATGGCTGGGCGGGTGGGTAACCGAAGCTGGCATTCTGCAGCTTCACGAGCTCCGGCATAACCTTGGGAGGGGGCGGGAAACGGAGATGTGGACGTTTCCCGGCCGCGAGAGGCGCTTCAATGATGGCCATTTTTTCTAAAGTCTTCTTGCGAGAGTTGGCCGCCGAGGCCATCGTCGCCTTGGCACCGAAGCGATCGATAAAGGCTTGCACACGGGCCCTCTCCTTGGCCTGTCGCGCCGCTGCTGCTTCCAGGGCCTCCGCGCGCTCCTCTCGTTGCGCAAGAAACTGATCGTAGCCGCAACGGTAGAGTTCTAATGCCTGGAACCGAAGCTCGGCCACTGTGGTGCACTGGAAGGCCCTTAAGAGCTCTTCCTCGTGGCTGACAAGAAGCACGGTTCCCGTGTAGCCAGACAGAAAATGCATCAGCCACTCCTTCGCCGCTGAGTCCAGATGGTTCGTCGGTTCGTCGAGGAGTAATAATGACGGCTCTCCGAGCAATAACCGCGCAAGGGCGATGCGCATCTGCCAGCCACCGCTGAAGTCAGTGCAAGGCCGCGGGTAGTCAGAGCGTTGAAACCCCAGGCCGTTTAAAATGTTTCCCACTCGGCGTTCAACATCCTCTCCTCCCGCCTCGATCCACTCAGCCTGAGCTCGCTCCAGGCTCAAAAGGTTTGCATCGCTTGGATCGCGCGTTACTCGGGCTTCCGCCTCTGCCACGGCTTTTTGGGCTGCGTGGAAGGCCGTCATCTGAGACATGGCCTCCTCGATCAGCGGACGTGCGGAACCCGAGACAGCAGTTTGCACCAAGTAGCCCAAAGTGGCTCGCGGATGCACTCTTATACTTCCCTCCTCTGGCAGATTGTGTCCTGCAATGACGCTGAGGACGGTCGATTTGCCTGCCCCATTTCCTCCCACAATGCCGACACGTTCTCCTTTGTTGATTTTCCAATTGACACCGCTTACCAGCTGTGTGGCGCCTGCCGCAACGGCGATGCCATCAAGAAAAAGCTCAGCACCCTGCGTGTCCCCATAATTAGGAGTCGGCACATTCGTTGTCACAGCCCTCGTTTGTGTACTCGCTTTCGAATCAGCCAGTGAGATGTGTGAAATCCGCCACGCCTGCTCTGGGTCGCACGAGACTCGCATGAAGGCATGTACAGAAGTAGTGGCTGCCAAAGAAAGGAGGAGGGCAAGCCTATGTATTCTGTTCACCATGACTCTGTCTATGGGGCTGTAAATGTTGGGTGATAAGACTGACGTCGTGACTACGTGGCGGTGATCTTGAGCAGAGCTCGTGCTCTTTTCTACTCAGGGCCGTAAGGAGCCAGGCCCGGACAAGCTGGTGCATGGCCAAGCAAGAGGGAGCAGCTCCTAATGCTAACAAGCGGAGTGGCAAAGTGTCATGCGGGAAAAGTATGAAGAGAGCCGGAGACTGGAAGCGCGCAAGGCATGTGGCCGGCGGCACGGGACAGCCGCGAGGCAGTCAGGGCGAGGTCACGCGGACTTTGACATCGGACTGCAGCGCCACTCCTCTGCTTAACGTTTTCTATGCTTCACGTCACAGGCATCTTTTTAACTTTAATGTATTAACATTTTCTGATAACATGTACAAAGAGAATGGAAAGACCGCGTCGCTCAACAGGGATGAATGCAAGTGTAACAAGCAACGAAAGGTATGTAATATTCTAGGCCCATGTGAGCAGCTTTTTTACCAGGTCGTATCTGCCACAAAACTGAGGCTACCCACCCAAGTGTTCTGGTTTTTCGATGAACATCACATCAGATCGGATGCTTCAACTGGCTTGTTTTTCGACAGCCCCAAAGCAATGCTCCGTAGGTGCTGTCTTCCTAAGAAATTGGATGTAGACAGGAGGAAATCACATGCATTCTAATGTAAAGATCTTTATATGCTCCAAATATCAATGCTTTTTTTTCATACAATACTAGGGAAGCTCTGCTTTCCGCTACGCGCCTTTCTCGAGAAGCAAGAGAGCGCGAAAGAGAGCAGCGTATCCAGAAGAAGGTGGCACAGAAATGTATCCGGAGATGCTTAAGGCGTTACATAGGACGTCGATCACACTTAAAAGAGCTAACAAAAAGGCTGCACGATTTGTATATGCTAAACAAGGTCATGCGAAATGGCACAGGTCCCCACACATCCCGTTCTTCGAGCGGGGCGCCCTCAGTTTTACCAGCCAGAGATGTCTCTTTCGCTTTGCCGGTGCGCCAGTCACGTGGCTTGGTCCTTCAATATCTGGTATTTGGACGCCATGAGAGTGGGGGCTCATTAGTGCTAAATCAAGAGAAAAAGCAGCACTTGCTCGTCGCGCTCTGTCGTCTCGTATTGCTTCCTAACTTCAGGCGTGGTGGCGGCCTGCTTGCCTTCTGGCTGGAAGAGAATGATGTCCATCTGAAGCGGATTTTAAGCCTGCTGTTGAATGCAATGCAACAACTCGACTTTTTTGATGACAAGGTCCGCATTAGGGAGGGTCAGAACACACGCGCAGTCAATAAATTTTGGTGTGATCATTTTGACTCAATAATTTTTGGTCTCACAGGATCCGCTTGCCATTTCCTTGAAGACCTTATCTTCCTTCTACGTGGCATGTCGCGCTGAAGGAGGGAGAGGGCGCAATTTTTGCGCTGATTTCGCGAATTCTAGAATATTCCCCGTCGCCAGAGATATCTGCATATCTTACAAAACTGTTTTCTTTCAACCAAGCGGGCAGCCCCTCACACATACTCATAGGAATCTTTACAACGATGAAGCTGACAGTGAGACTTTTTGTTTATTCTTTGCGTTTTTATCGGAAGTGCTACGATCTAGCTCGTCCGATAAAAATACATTTCTAGATAGCAAAAGAGGTAGGCCAGGAAGGAGCAATGCAAGAAGTATGACTGACGCAAGTAGAGATACATTCGCAGCCTATGTGCGGCTTCTGCTGAGTGTTCCACTTTTTTCACGTCGAGCTAATATTGATCATTCCCCGTATCTGGAGGCACTTGTCTCTGCTTGGGGCATCGTAGACTTGTCGACCCTTCCCCCAAATCCTTTCCCTGCGGCGCCGAGCATTGTCGGGGTGGTTTCAAATATGTCATTCATCTTGGCAGCGGTGCTTCCCACCGTCGCCAAGCCCTCATGCGAGTTAGATATAGCCCAATTGAGGCATGTTTGGGTAGATGGACTTACATACTTGGCCAGGTTCCTTCGGCAGTGTCCTCCATTAGTGGCATCAAGCGAGAGCGTAATCTCCTTCGAAAAGAAAGGTGCATGCCTAACAACACACGCCATAGACCCTGTGGTTGTCGCAACCCTTCAAACGGTATTTTCAGAAGATTTTTTGAGGGCGTTACTGCTGTGGATTACAAGGATGGGGTTTTTCGACGAGCGACGGGCTGATGCTTTCCTGAAGGTAAGGTAGGAAGAAGGGCCTTGTGCATTATGGATGAAAGTGTGTGCACTTCAATCCTTTCTCTCGCACAAAGTGTGTGAATTTAAGAGGTCAACCACTTAACATTTGTTTGGCGATGTATGAATGTGACAGGCATCACAACGACAAAGGGATAAGTTGGAAGTGGCTGAGGCACGCCGCTCTTCGACCCTTGACTTGATCTATGCAAGCTACAAGACCCACCAAGATCTCAAATCGGCCTCTTGGTTCTCAAGGCTTGGACGACGGCTGTTTGGTGCCGATACCGCACCAACGTTCGACTCTAACATTGTTCAGGAGGAGTACATTTATCGAGGAATTTCGAAGGTTGATAATCCGTTCCTTTTCACTGTTGAAAGTAATGCTAAAGAGGTGGACTCCGTTTGTGAATTCCTAACAGTTATATTGTGGAAGTGTTACAGCAGCGATATGCAAAGACGGCTAGCCTTCAACAACTCAGTTAAGCGACAAGTTCTTAACACTGTAGCGTATTCAGGGCCAACATCAAAGTTTTTGTGGGTACACTTACTTACCCGATATGGTAGCTCTTTGGTCAAAATCAAAGGGATACAATGGCTTGCACCGGGTGAGGGTTCTATGCATGGAAATGCATTCATTTCGGCCTTGGTTATAATGGCAGCCATCTTGCAACACGAATTTACGCTTCTCAGTAATGAAGACTTCCGAAAAGGATTGCCATTGGCTCAAGCACACATTGTGCATCTGGTAAAGACGCTCAAGGTTTTCTGCTACGAAGGTTGTTTAGCGCATACAGATGAGAAGGTTTTGATGCCTACTACTACGATGACTACAGCTGAGACATCAACGAGTGACTCGTCTGTTTCGCCTGCTGTATTGGATGTTAGCTACACTCGTTTTGTCCTGACGACACTTTGCCGTTTTTTAGCTACCTTGTACAATCGGTGGTCTCGGAAAGCTTTCTGCGCACTCTCTGTTTGGGTGTTAAGTGACGCGAATTTTACTTTTTTACGCCATGACTCACGTCATTGGTCACCCAGGGCGAAGCTCTTGCTTCACTTACTGCCCTTCACTATACCATTTTCCGAGCGATTGACCTTGTTTCGAGAGTGGATACAAAGCGACAAAGATACATTCCAAAATCGTTCAGCACCAATCGTAGTCAAAATCCGGCGCGCTTCACTCCTTGACGACGGTTTATCTATGCTCAATTCGTTACCAGAAGAGTTTTTAAAACGACGGATCGTAGTGGTATATGTATCCGAAGCTGGCACACAAGAAAGCGGAATCGACTTAGGTGGCCTATTGAAAGATTATATTACAGATGCGTGCCGCCTGCTTTTTGATCCAGCCTTCGGACTCTTCAGAACAAATCGTTCGGGGTTCTTGTATCCTAATCCAATTGCTCCCTTGATTCATAATGACTACGCCACTCTGTTTGAGTTTGCTGGCAAAATTGTGGGTAAAGCAATGTACGAATCCGTCGTGGTAGCCCCATTGTTTCTTCCTATGGTACTTGGGCATATGCGAGGGCACTATGACTATATGCAGATGCTTCAAGACCTTTCCGATGTATCTGAAGAGCTGTATAAGAATCTTTTGTATTTGCAGAGCTGCGAAGATGATGCAGTTTTAGACGAATTAGGACTGTGTTTCGCCGTCGCCCACCAAGACCTGGGAAGACAGCATGAAGAAGAGCTAATAGAAGGTGGTGCCCAAATTCCCGTGTCAAAAGCAAATCGGTTGGAGTATATCCAACTGGTCACGAAGCATCATGTCGTAGATAGAATTGCTGAACAGTCTAAAGCATTTTGTCGCGGGTTTCATCAAATTATTTCTCCATCATGGCTAAGAGTCTTTAATGAGTGCGAGCTTCAGCTGCTTGTCAGTGGTTCCATAGGCGGAGAATGGGATGTTGAAGATCTTAGACGGCATTCTCGATACGGACAGGGATATCGGGGAGCAGACAAAGCCGTCCGCATACTTTGGGATGTGCTAGAAGAGCTTGATTATGAAAAGCGCAGACAATTTTTGCACTTTGTCACGTCCTCGGACCGAGCCCCGCTAGGAGGGTTTACGAATCTGGACCCTGTTTTCACAATCACTCGGGCTTCCTTAGCTCAGGGATGTGAGAAACGATTGCCAATGGCCCGTACTTGTTTCAACGAACTTATTTGGCCATGCTACACAAGTAAACTTGCAGCCAAAAACAAATTGTTGCAAGCCATCAGCTCTGGTGCAGGATTTGAGCTAACCTGAGAAATACGTTTGGATTCTCGATCCAATTTCTTAAAAAGTCAACAAAGAATGATTCAAGAGAAAGGGGGTTTTGAGTGTTTATATTTGGTTAAATTTTTCTTTGTACGGCAAATCGGCGATCCGGTTTGGTATGTACGTCCAAGAGGCACACAACATGATATACAAATGACTACATCGCCTTTATCATCAGAGAAGTATTCGAGGTGTAAAGACAGCTCCAAATGTATTAAAAGCTATTACATCACTTTACGCCAAGGACTTCATACTCTCTCTCTCGCAATTGGCTGCGCTCATTATCACGCACCATTCCGCAATGAAGCGTTTGGCAGCGGGTGGCATTTGATCCGACAAGAGTGGTTCTCCTCTATGGGTCGCACCGGCGACAATGCCTGCCAACAACGCGCCGTAAAGATTGACGTAGTGCGATGATATATTACAACTCCCATATTGCCACTGCTGCATCTCGGGAAGTAATCGCTTCTCCCGGCGCGCAGTGCATGAAATTTTGTGTAGTGCTTTTACAGCTCGCGACACAACTTGAATACCCCACTCCAATTTTTTGTCCGCATCACTCGTGTCAGGAAAAGCTGTGGCTATGCCCTCTCGTATTGTATGAAGTCGCGTCCAACCCTCTGCAATAAATTCATTCTCAATTTGACCGACATTTTCTGCTCGACATAAGGCAGCGCGTAGTTGCGGCTGCAGTAATGTAACCCTTTTAATGTCCAACTCTATTCGAAACTTTCCCGAGATGTTCCCTGTTAGCAAGAAAACCAGGATCACCATGTGTCTAGGATTCTCGGGTTCTACGTTTATGTAGTCCAGCAAGGCCAAGATCCATTCTCGCCTTGCTGCCGCTTTGTCCTGAGCGCTTGATGTCCACAAAGGCCGGACAATCCAAGGAATCAAGCATTGACGATTCTTTTCAGAGAAGTACGAAAGCGATTGAGTTGCGGGACCAATTACCAAATGCCGAAGGGACTTGAGGTCAGAAATAGGCATCGCTCCTTCTTCAATCAGCATAGCTATCATTATGACAATAGCAGCTCCCTTTCCAGGCTCAGAAAGGCTTTTTAATGTGAGCGCTTGCTGAAGATCCTCTTTCACATGCTCTGGGGTAGGATGACATCTAGTCAAAGCACTTAGCACATTCGCAAGCGCTTGCAAGAAATTTAGACATATGGGCTCCTGATTTGGCTCGTCTTGTAGACATTCAGACATGAGTTCTCCCTCAAGGTAAATAGAGGAGAAAGAAGGGAGAAATCCTAATATGACTGTAACAACAAATGTGCACACTGACTCTATTCTGGCACTGTCCATGTCACTGTCACTGGATTTACATGATCGTCCCAGCGCATCTAAAAATTTAATAGCATGTAAAATTGTGAAAGCTTCTTTTCGCCCCTTCTCAAAAGACTTATCCCAAAGCCTTTCCAGGAGCTGTCCACAAAGTTTTGCAGGAAAGAGACCAATAAAGCTATGCAACACGTCGAAGACTAAGTCCAAGACCTCATCTTGACTGTTTACCGCAAAGTCATATAGCCATGAAACATAGGCTCCGGAATGTGGGGCCATCTTCACTGCAAACATGATGCATGCCCGGATAACCACTGCACTGTCATAAGCATCCTCACATTGCGCTTGCTTCAGTTTGATCTGTAGTTGCCTTGATTTTACCAAATTCTGCAGGGCTAATGTCATCTGTTTATGCTCAACTTTGAAGGTACGACAGCTTCCTAGGCCTCTTAAGGAAGATACAATGAATGCATTTGCAACGCTGCTCTCCATATTATCCTCTCCCACTGCGAGTCGCAAGAGATCGTGCAACACAAGGCGCAGCAGAGTACCTTCGCTCGGCAAGCCAAATGTCGACGGGTCTATACGACACATCATTGTTCGTGACGACCCGCTAGGAGATCCTTTTGTCAATCCCTCCATTGATTTCCCCTCTACCCTTCCACCTTTTCCCTCGTTTTCCTCCGCATCATGTTCCTCTTTCAAGGCTGCTAGCAATCCTAATATGCGTGCTGCTCCATTGCTTTGACGATGATTGCACGAATGAGATACATCTCTACGCAAAAATCCCACTAATTCCGTCGTCATGTTCGCCGTTGTGCGTTCGGCGTTCAATGACGCACCTAAGTCGGTGCCCATAATATCAACCAACGGTCCACCGTTTACGAGAAGAGTAAAGGCGCTTAGGTAAAGGGATAGTGAATATGTTTCGTGTATGTTATCTCCCGACGTGGCTTCCTTTCCGACTCCTGACAGCTTCCTCATCTTCTTGGAGAGGTAGCGCCTAAGATCATCAGAGACTCCCTTCGGAAAAGCCATGGCGCCTTGTAGACTGACCGCGAGGTGGGCAACTCCAAGCAGAATATTAGCGTCGTCGAGAAGATTATCGGTACCAACACTCCCCTGGTCTGACTCCTCCTCACCGGCCTCCGTTAGGTGGGACATGAGATTTTGAACGAGAAAGAGTACATCGCTCAAAGCGAGTAAATTTGCCTTCATAGCCGAAACAGATACCACACTTAAGGCAGGAGAGACGAGTGTTATATATTTTTGAGCTGCAGCGCGTAAAACGTGGTAGAGTTGAAGCAAAACACCGTCCAAACCAGCATGTGCCAAGTTCGGAGCCAGTATTGCCAAACCCCATAATGCTCCAGCTAAAGCCGCCGTCCGATCACCGCATCTGTTCATGGCATCCGATGATGGAGATAAATTATGCTTGGCAGTTGACGGTGCATCCCTATTCACATCGATTGCTCTCCACTCGATGATATCATGCGTCGCATGATTCTCCTGTGAGGCCCACAGTGCCACAGAAAACGCTCCAAGGGGCTCTCGAAGCATGCGGGCGACAGCAATGGAGTGAAGCGCCTCCTCTTGTAAGGTCATTAAACAATTTTTAGTTACAGTGAGCAAAAGCCTCAAGGCAGCCATGTCAGGAGAAGAAATCTGCCGTACCCAGTCCGTCGCTACGCTCGAACCAACAAGGACGCCCCACCGGCACCAACCCCAATTCGGACTAGCCGTGAATGCCTTTTGAGCATGGTCCATGTAGACCTCCTCAACTATTGCCTCTACTAAATTTCCGTCGGCAGGACCCAGGCATCGAGCTGAGAGGCCTAGTGATACAAAGAGGCTTGGAACGTCAGAAGTAATCCCCGTCATCATGTCAGAAATGGCCGCCTCCCTCAAGTTAGCAACCACCTCCACCGTCTTGTAGGATAATTGGGTGGGCAGGGCGTTCACCAATGCCGCCAACGCCAGGTAACAATTTGCAGCTTCCCGACTAAATTCTCCATAATTTTTAACGAGTGTACGAATAGATGTTTCCATCTCCTCGATAGCCTTGATGGTCTTCGTCGAAGACTCGGGATACCGACAAAGCTGCTCATGTACGAAGGTCTGAAAAAAGCGCAGAAACCCGTGAACTGCTAAAATACGATGTATAGAAGACCGACCACCTAAATCCTCATCGCTCAAGACGTCAACGATCATTTCTGGCAGACTGAGGTCTCCCATTTCTTCGGCCGCACCAACGGAGTTCCACCGCTTTCCACTGATAGCACACAATGTTGCACCTGCCAACCCTGGAATGTCCCCTCGATGTTTTTTATATAATTGCAGAATTTCATTTGCATTAGGAAGAGCCTTGATACTTCTTCCCGAGGGTTTATTGAAAGTCACCTCGCCACCATCATATTTCTTGGCGCCCCCTGTTAACAGCAAGGTGCGCCGCCACGAACCAGAATCCTCGGCCTCAGCCACCAAAATTACTTTGAGTAGTTCCTGCAAACCCTTGTGGGAATCGACATGGTATTCTTTCCGAAGGGTCTGATAAACACGCTCCCGCAAATCTGCCGGTACCCTGTCATCCTGACACGCTAGTAGCGCTGGAACGTACCCCGTCAGTGCCAAGTAGGTTTGTCTTCGTACCGCAACGTGAGGCTCTTGAACAAGGTCCCACAGGTGATCGTGCAAGCTAAGAAGGTGCTCTTCACTTATTCGAGGAAGCCTTTCTTCATAGTCATCGTGGACACTGTCGGGCACACTGGTTGCTTCTGTTGCGTCGCCTTCACTAAGTGTCTTCTCTGCAGAGCAGTAAAATATGTCAGCCCCAGCCCCGTAGAAATCCGCTAAACTAATCAAAACAGAAGGATGTTGTTTGAAATTTAGCCGTCCTTCTTTACGGATAATGCGTAGAGTCGCATTAAAGTCCAGGCAGTCGGCAGAGCATAAGTACGTCAAACAATCCACAGCGGTCGACACGACACCCGGCAACTGACGATCCATCAAGAAGGTTTGAAGCAAGCCGACGAACTCGGAGCCAGCCTCAGGATCCTCACGTACCACGTCCAAAATGGCCAGTACACGTGCTAGGCGGAACTCGTCTACCTCATTTCCCAGCGCTCTGAGAGAACTGGTCCCCACATTCATGTCGGCGTCCGCCGCCAGCACCAGCTGCCGGAGGCGAGGAAGAGTTCGCATGTTGCACCGATACAGGGCAGCAGACAAGCTGATTGCCGCGGTTCCTAAACTGGTGGCACAAAGAGCTTCGTGTGTTAAAGATTTGTACGCTGATCCCGACGACCGCGCCAATCGATGGACTTCGGCAATGCCCGGCGCCGATGCAAGTCTCTGAAGAAGCGCTTGCACCAACTGGGCCCCGACACCGTGCAAGCCTAAAGAGGGCAGAAATTCCAGCAGCCGGCATTGTAATCTTGCCACGGAGGGCGTGATGGTATTCATACCACATCGATTGAGTCGATACAGGATGGAAGGGAAAAGACGGGGCCCTAGGAAACCCTTCTTGTCCTGATCCACAAGGACTCCCAGCATGTCGACTGCCATTTCGGCCCTGTTCTTTCCATTCGGCCCTTTCTCGTCCTCTTCGAAGAGTAAACCCATGACCCGAACAAGCGCCCACTCTCTCCTCCACGTGGTGGCAGCTTTATGTTCCGGTGCCGTGCGCAAGCTGTGTACTAGGAGCGCGAGAGAGTCGGGTGTGCCTGCCCAGCTGTGGTCCTCCATACTTACAGACAGGACCCAACGTGAACCCGATGCTGAGGATAAGACGGATCCTTTCTTTAAAAACAATCGCCGTTCAATAACATTAATCAGCGGGGCTGCCGCATTCGTGACACTTGTCAGGCTCAAGAGAGGGTACAGGCACAGGCGCAAAGCGTCGGGGGCGAGGCAGAAATGCTCTCTTTGCTCTCCGTCCTCGGAGGTCGCTGGGTTGGATGCGCTTATTATAGTCTGAAGAATGATAAGCAACCTAGAGCGCTCGCGACCACAGATGCCAATTCTGCCCATAGCCGCCAACAAATGAGCCAGCCCCGGCAGGAATGGACCCAGCAAGTCGAGGGCGTCGAATTCAGCCAAGGCCTCCAGCATAGCGGTGATGGGCAGGAGGAGCGGAGTGAATATGGAGCCACAAATGACCACATCCAGAGCGGATTCGACGAGGTGATGTGCGAGCCCACGGCCGAGGGTCCGTATTGCCGCGGGTGCTTCAAGGTGACAGACTAGCTGGAAGAGGAGCTTGAGCACCCTCAGAACAACCTGGGCGTCCGTCACCGGTGAAGATATCCCCGTCGTCCCATCTTCATTATTTCTATGCTCGTGTGATATTGAAGCGACCTCCCTTCCCTCTGAGAAACGCATGTTCGCGCCGGGCAAAAACCTCATGAGCTCCATGTAGCTTGAAGCGAGCGCCACCAGCAGAGGCTGTGGAAGGCGATCGAGAGGCATGCCCTCCAGATTTTTTAGAAATATCTCCTTTTCCCATGTCTTCGTACTCAGTAGAACAGACACCATGACTGGAATTTGAATTCCCACGAGCAATACCTCCATGTGTGGGTAGTAAGGTCGGGTCGGGAGGCGTATAGCCTCCGCGAAGACAAGGGGCATCAAGCATTTCCGATCAAAGTCTAGTGCCGAGACCAAAGGGGCCTGTTCACACCAGAGTAGGGCTGCGTCCATATTGCCTGCACTACTCTCTTTCAACATTGCTTCGAGAGACAAGTTCGCCAGAGTGGCTACCAAGACGCTTTGCACGCTTTGGATTCGCCCTCGTTGATGGTGGTACCGGAGAAGTACCTCAGAGCGCAGGGTTCCCTCCACGACTTCCAAAAGTCGTTTAATAATGGTGCCCACATCGCCTTTATTGCAGCCCACCAATGTTTCCAACCCGCTACAGACAGCGGAGGCTACCGCCAGCGGCGGGAGGTTGACAGCTTCTGCGGCATCCCCATCTGGCGGGATAAAGCCCCCGTGTATGGCCAGCGAATATTTTCCATGACTCCTTTCATTGTTTACTGCGCAACTCTGGTCAAAAGCAGGTTTTGAGCTTACCAGAAGCTGGAGAAGGATTTCAAGATCGATGCTTCCTTCCTCGACGAGTGCCACCAGTCCCGTCACTGCCAGCTCTTGTTGCAGCGCGTCACTCAGCCTCGCGCGGATGAGGAGCTTCTGGCATCGGCGCTGACAAGCCTCCTTATCCTTTTTCATGTTGTCATCCAGGCTCTGTGATCATGGGGTGGAGGCACACTCTGTGAGATGCTGTTGGGCTATGCCCGGGGCAGGGCACTCGCCAGACATGGGATTGAGGCGGCGACGGACGTGCCCGCTCCCGCCGCCGCCGGATCGTGTCTAAGCTGTCTGCATCGTGCGAGAACCAGAGGCTGACATGCATGGTACTATTAACTCAAAGCACGCTGCGGCAAGTCAGTCTAATCTCGACCTACCCTCTGTCTGAAAAAAATCTTCGTCACAAAGACTTGCGGTGCTCACGCTTCCCTTTGCCTGTGCCCCATCCACACCTACGCACTCAGCTCCGCGTCACCGTGGAGGCCATGGTCGACTCGATGCCACTACCTATGGAATGGTCAGCAATAGAGCAGAGTGAGCAGATTGAGAAGGTCGTGGTAGAGGAGCGGCTGCAGGAAGACCAGAAGCAGCAGAAAGGACACCTAACAAACTGGCAGCACTGTCTCGATCTTGCTATTCCAGCTGGTGCGTGTACATGCATTTCATCGTTTCTTCGGTGCAAGAAGTTCAAGTACGTAACTTTTTTTGCATAATTAAACTCACGAATCTCGTATTTTTCCTTCATGATTTACTACTTAAAAATTTACTCCGCAGCGATAAACATCCGAGTCCTTCAAGTCACGAGCTTTGAGACCACGGGCTCCAAGTATTCGTACGCCAGTGGGTTCGTGGTGTCACTCAAGCACCGATTGGTGTTGACTAACCGCCATGTGATCTGTGGGGGAGCACCGACGGTTGTAGACGGCCTGTTACACAACAAAGAGGAGGTGTCTCTGAAAGTCCTCTACCTGGACCCTGTCCACGACTTCGCCTTCCTCTCTTTCGATGCCTCACAAATCAAATACATGAAGCTCAAAGAGATAGAGCTCGACCCAGATGGAGCGCGTGTCGGCCGTGAAATTCGGATTATGGGTACGTTGTCGAACGAAAAAGCAAGGCCTTCCTCGCATGCGTGTCTGAGGATTTTAAGAACTGGATGGCGGACCGGGAGAGGCGAGAGTGGACCCCTTGGGCGTGACATGCTGAGCCACAAATGTTTCGTCAGTTTATGGCTTGAATAGATCCGCCCTTTCTTTATTGTCTTCATTTCATCCAGGTAACGACGCTGGGGAGAAAATTCAAATACTGCCGGGCATTATTGCGCGCCTAGATCGTGACAGCCCTTTCTACGGGAGTGGCTACAACGACTGTAAGTGTCTTTGCTAGGACCATTCCCCTCATCCACCGGCCCAAATTCTCGTGGGCCGCATTGCACTGACGGAGCGTTTCCGCGCTGTTACCCGATCAAGCCCTCACTCTCTCTGTTTATGCCCTCTCTTCGCACCTCAGGGAACACTTTCTACATCTCAGCAGCATCCTCCACCAGTGGCGGTTCCTCAGGCTCACCAGTTCTAGCTTCAGATGGCAAGGCTGTCGCTTTGAATTGCGGGGCAGCCAAAAGTGCCGCTTCCTCCTTTTACCTTCCCCTCCATGGCGTCAAGCGGGCCTTGGACATGATCGTGGGGTGGATGGAAGGTCCAGGCAGCACACCATGCTTCGAGGATAGGCTGGAAGGGAGAGGAGCTGAACCTTCCTCCATTTGCTCGTCCTCGATTCTGGTGCCCCGCGGCACGCTGCAGGTGATTTTCAAGCATAAGGCCTTCGATGAGCTCTGTCGCCTGGGCCTGACAGCCGAGGCTGAAGCTGCGGTGCGTGCAGAATATCCCTCAGAGACCGGCATGCTCGTGGTGGATCAGTGTTTGAAGAGCGGACCAGCGGACGCTTTATTGGAACCCGGAGATATTTTGCTGAAGGTGGCGGGTGCCTCTTGCACCACGTTTCTGCCGCTAGAGGCTTACTTGGACGGCCACGTTGGCGAAGAGGTGACGCTGCACGTGCAGCGCGGCGGAGAGGATCGGGCGGTGACGATGGTGATACAAGATCTGCACGCCTTGATGCCTGACACCCTCTTTACCATCAGCTCAGCAGTTCTTCATCCTGTCACCTTGCACATCGCCAAGGCTTACCATCTGGAGGCGGGCGCGGGCGTCCACCTGGCGAGCACGGGTTTCATGTTCAGCCGCGCCGGGATCACCATCCATTGTATCATCTTGAGTGTGGGCGGAGTGCCGACGCCTACGGTAGCGATTTTGGAGGAGGTGTTTGCCAGCCTTTCCGATGGGCATCGCACCAGCGTCAGGTTTCACAGCCTGACAGATCGGTTCCGCGTGCGCACTTCCGTCATTCAGGTGGACAAGAAGTGGTTTGCGCACGGTCGCTATGTACGTGCTCGAGACCCATTCGACAGCACCATCGGCTGGACATTCCAAGCATGCAAGAGCAGCCATGGAAGCTCCTCGACAACGTCTTTTCCTCCGGCAAGCGAGGCTGTACCCGCTGTGGCCGGTATCCCTAAAGGTCTCGCATGGGCCCAGCAGAGAGTTGTCTCCGAAACTGACGGCAGAATTGTAAGCAACAGTCCCAGGGATGCGTTAGTCATGGTATCCTTCGCTGTTCCTTATTTGGTGGATGGTATGAGCGGAGCCGAATACATCGGGGCAGGCATTGTCATAGACCAGGCCCGGGGCCTCGTCTTGGTCGATCGAAGCACCGCTCCTACCACTTTGGGTGACGGGCTCGTGACCTTCGGGGGTGTTTTGGAAGTTCCAGCAAGATGCATTTTTGTTCATCCACTCCACAACCTATCAGTGCTTCAGTACGATGCAAGCTTTCTAGAGTCTGAAGCGCAAGGCGGGCTCGTGACGGTTGCTGAAGTGAGCTTTGTTGAGAATCCTTCGCTCAGGGTAGGGGACTCGCTACTCTTCCACGGGCTCTCACCGCCTTTCATTCCTGTCACGCAACGCGCTACCATCACCAGAAAGGAGACCCTTAAGCTGGCCGACGGACGGCCCCCG